TAGGCTATTTGAAGTCACGTTTAAAACACAGCTGGATCCATTTCAACAGTGGAGTAGCCTAAAAAGTTTTTACTTTTCGTCTAAACGGCGCAATTGCAGATGTTTAACCAGAGAGAGAGAGAGAGCTCACATCCTTTCCTGCTTCGGTGATGACCGACCGCCGTTTCTGAGAAAAGTTCGCCCGCAGTTTTTCTCCCTTTTGCTCCAAAAATTGAAACTGTTTACTCGTTTAGCAACACGTTTATCTAAATGTGTGAAAAGAAGGAGAAAAAAAAGGAAACGGCAGTTATGTCCTGGCAGGACCACAACCAGGTAGGACTATCGGTCCTAATCAACACTGTGCTGATAAACCGACAACACGAGCCATCGTCGTCGGTTTGGAATCAGACCAGCCTCCTTCCGCTTCACAAGTGAAGGCTTTCTGAAAGTTCTTTCCCATTAAGCAAGAACGTTTTTTGTTGTTGTCTATGGTCCTGATCTGAAGGCAAGATTACATATTTTTAAATAGTAGGCTATCTAGAGTTTTGTCCCACCCCTTATTGTCCCGTACAGTCTGCTCTGCCTGGAATGTGTTCTCATAGCGGTTTTCCTGTTGCTCGCTGAACCTCTCATTTTCCTTTTCCCCCTGTGGACTGGTGTATACACTGCACTGTCAAGAATGTGCTTCAAAGACCCCTATGATACAATAACATTTCTGTGAGTAATAACAAGATCTACTTAGCATCTCACAGACGCCAAGTTAAAATGTCAATGGGGGCTCTATCATGCAGTGACCCCCTCCAAACATAAAAATCACTTTGCTCTGATATTTTTTATTCCCCAAGTCTAATTACCTTGTTAAAATCATCAATAATAGTATGTGTACTACTCTTACTTAAAAATCCAGTAGCTATTATGCAATAACTGTTTGGTTCAAATGTTAAAGCTGCAATATCTGATTTTCTTGCCCACTTTTGGGAAGCAGAAACAGGTTCTAAACATTTCAGATACTTTTAAGTTGATAGTGACTATAACCGCTTTAACTGGTAGGCACAAGATTTCTCCGACTTCCTAGTCCATTTGTCCCAAAGTGATTTGTATCTGTAAATCTGGATCCGTATCTGTGAGTCTAATTTACAACCCTTAGGCCTATATCATGATTTCTTTTTTCTTTTCTTCTTTTTTCAAAGGAAATTTGTATTTGTGAATCTCTAAGTATTTGTGTGGATCCTTTTGAGACTGTTTTTACCGCTATCGTTTGCTTGGGTAGTGGGACCTTCCAGAGAGAGATTGGTGATAGGTCTGGCGTATCCGCAGTCCACTGTTAGTTGTGCGTTCCCCAGAGTTGTCCAGGGTATCATCCAGTTAACACCACAGGACATTCCATTCCATATAAAAAGGGATTTTTATTTCATTCCTGGACTAGCCTATAAGCAATCAACTGTACTCATATGTGTGCATCAAGGTACAAAAGAAAACAATTTAATTCAGTATTAACCGACAGCTTTATTAGGTACACCTGTTCAATTGCTTGTTAACACAAATAGCTAATCAGCCAATTAGATGTTAGCAGCTCAATGCTTTTATGCATGTAGACATGGCCAAGGTAAGACACATGCCTTTGGTGTGAGAAACCCGGGTTCAATTCCCCACTGTGACCCATCCACCACTGTGTCTCTAAGCAAAACACTTAACCCCTAGTTGCTCCAGAGGCGTGCAACCTCTGATATGTATAGCAATTGTAAGTTGCTTTGGAAAGCGTCGGATAAATGTAAATGGTCTGAGTATTTCAGTAAACTGCTGATCTACTGGGATTTTCACGCACAACCATCACTTTGGTTTACAGAGAATGGTCTAAAAAAGAGAAAATATCCAGTGAGCGGCAGTTGTGTGGACAAAAATGCCTTGTTGATGTCAGAGGAGAATGGGCAGACGAGATGACAGAAAGGCAACAGTAACTCAAATAACTAATTGTAAGGTATGCAGGATACCATCTCTGAACGCACAACACGTTGAACCTTGAAGCAGATGGGCTACAGACCACACCAGGAGCCACTTCTGTCAGCTGAGAACAGGAAACTGAGGCTACAATTTGCGCAGGCTCTCCAAAATTGGACAATAGAAGATTGGAAAAACGTTGCCTGGTCTGATTAATTTCAGCTGCAACATTCAGATGGTAGGGTCAGAATTAGGCTTAAACCACAAGAAAGCATAGATCCATCCTGCCTTGTATTAATGGTAGAGGCTGGTGGTAGTGTAATGGTGTGGGATAGTTTCTTGGCACACTTTGGGCCGCTTAGTACCAACTGAGCAACAGCCTACCTGAGTATTATTGCTGACCATGTCCATCCCTTTATGACCACAGTGTACCCATCTTCTGATGGCTACTTCCAGCAAGATAATGCATGCAAACATTTCACAAAGCTCAAATCATCTCAAACTGGTTTCTTGAACATGAGTTCATTATACTCCAGTGGCCTCCAAAAGATGCAATTCCTTAATCCTTAATCCAATAGAGCACCTTTGGGATGGAATTGGAGATTTGCATCATGGATGTGCAGCTGACAAATCTGCAGCAACTGCGTGATGCTATTCTGTCAATATGGACCAAAGTCTCTGATGAAAGTATGCCACAAAGAATTAAGGCAGTTCTGAAGGCAAAAGGGAGTCCAACTCTGTACTAGCAAGGTGTACCTACTAAAGTGGCCAATGAGTGTAATAGGCTATGTAATGCACAGAATCACATCCTGAGCATGGTGGCCTGCTGGCTGGGGGGACCACATGACCTGGCTCTGGTAGGTCATTGTCTAGACTGCAACTTTGACGGAGAGAAACCTCTGCAATCATGGCTCCAATGTGCTCATCAGTGTCTGTTGTTTAGACAATAACCTGACCCTCCCGGGGCTGTAATAGTATGGCAGGCAGCAGACAGTTGTTTTTTGGCATCCATTAACAGATCAAACAATTTCTTTTTATTTCAGTTCTTTCTTCTGCACATACAGCATAAATTGCACTGGTGCCATGTGTAACGGAAGCCAGCGAGACTGTGCAGTGAGTAAACCTCACTTCCTGACACCTTAAGAGACGCACTGGCGTCCGACAGGGTCTGTGGGTTTTGGCATCCTCGTCAGCGTGTCCACGTCCCGTACCTGAGGTTGCTGGTTTGATTCCGGACCGTGCAGTAAGTACTCGGTGGCAGCCGGTTACGGTTGGACTGACATTCCCACTACTAACACCTTAACTAAACTCCATTAAGTAAAGTTTCTGTCTCCGCAGAAGAAACATTTTTTCCTTTTTTCTGCACTTAGGTGTCATCGTTATTTGTAGAATGATAGAAGGCACACGGTTGTTGCGTCTGTGAATATTGTAGCATGGTAGCTGCTACTCAGCTAGCCATGCTGCCTCCACCCTCTCACTTCACAAACAGGCAACCCGTGACAGCACTTGGCATTCTTCTTCTTCTGTTTAATTTATAAGCAGTTGGCATCATACCGACTGTATGGTTCACACATGTAAATGTTGCATTACTACCATCTTTCGGAAAGGCTAAATCTTCCCTGAACTTCTGAAATGTTGTAGAAGAACAGTCTCAAAAAGATCCACACAAATAGGGGGAAATATATTTGCATTGAAAAAAGCTAAGTTGACGTACAAATGATGACAAATATATACATTTAAAGAGACAAATCACGCTACAATTATTTGTGCATTGTGTTTTACGAGTTATGTATATTGACATTTGTAAATATTTGTGAGACTGTTCTAATCCCATACTCAAGTGCCTTTCTGTTACAGCAGTTGTGGCAGTCTGTGTGTGTCTTAAATGGCAAATACAGTTGTCTCTTGGATGCCAGACAGACTGCTGTGTGAAAGCACTTCATTCAGCAGAGCCTGAGAGAGATGTCTTCGTATCTGTAATATAAAATTCCCCTCCTTGTTCTCAGGCTCTGTAATCTCTCCGTTTTTGGCTTACGGCTGAAGAAACAGCTGGAAGCTCTCACATCAGCTGTCAAGTAGAAAAGAGAACATATTGTTGTTCTTTTTTCTCAATCAGCACTGATATTTACTAATCTCTGCGGTTCAAAGAGCCACACAGCCCTATTCCCTTAAGGGTTTACTAAAAAGTGTCTATTTGTTTTATAATCATCTTGAGTAAAGGACATGTTGATCCAACAGACATTTTTCATCCTGTCATTTTGTCAGAAGCAAAAAACGCAATAAAGATAAGACATGTTTTACTTGAATACTATTGAATAGTCAATATTTTAGCTCTGGACTACGTAACACACAGCACATAAATTTAGTTTGTAATATTAACTTTAGTCATATTTGTGCTTCACAGTCTGATGCCTCATTTTCAGAGGTCAAAATCTGCACAATCTGCTCCAGGCTGTGTTGCAACTGTATGAGGATATGTGTTTACAGTCCACAGACAATGTTAAAGTCTAGTGTGTTTCTTCATTGAACTCTAGAGAGCTATTTATTGTAGAGCTGACCTCAAGTCACCAAGTTCCCCCCTGTGAAGAGGAAGTCACAACACTGAAATAAAATGTGACAATGTTTTACTCTTAGAATGACCAGCTACAGCATGAAACATTAATTTTCATAGAAATAATTGTATGCTCTATTGTTGAACAAACCCAAATATCCTTTTTGCTTCTATGTCAATAAGCTGTTATGTAATGATACTGCACATTGGATGAAAAGATTACAGAGCAGGGTTCAAAAGCCATCCCATGCCACGAGATCGCATTAAAGGCTTCCTTAAGAAGCTCAAAGTAACTTTATTGTGAAAGAGTAACCAATGTTACGTGCCAGACAAGAGGCTCATCAGTCACATGCATGCCTATTAAGGAAATGTTGAATTTGCGGTGTTGAAGGGGTAACTTTAAAATGTTCTTTCAAAGTGTGTATTATGTCATGTAACAACACCAAACACAGTATGGTGGTACTTTCACTAGATCACCAAATCAGGTAAAGACATTGAAGAAAAACAAACTCGCACGTGAAGGTCAGTAAATTTATTCCAAACTTGCAACCAAACACACATTTTATAGGTCTCACACTTTAACAAGATGTAGAACACCTGAGCTTTCAGAGTCTCTGGCCTCCACTTAATAATAAACAACCCCAGGATCAAGTCTTTAATTTTTGTAAGAACAGTATCTAAATAGGATTTTTTTTAGACAACACATTTAAATATATTTTGTTGTAATTAGAATATGTATTGAAATTACATCTGTATGAGTTATTAGTTATGATTTTAACACAAGTACCATGAACATTTTAAAATGGCCCAATGCCTTGCCCAGATAGATTGCTTAATGTGTAGTGCTCCACATATTATTAATAAAAGATTTCCTGAGTAACATTATGTGCAAAAGGTTTCTTTGCTGTGCATAGGTACCTCTGCAGATGTAAGGTCTGCTATTGGTGTATAAAAAATATTGCAAGCAGCAATTCTGGTGGTAAAGTAAAAGCCCATCAAACATGGTACATTAAGCACAGGCAGACTGAGGATACCAGTGAGCAGTTTTTCCCATGATCAGACAAAATGTCACAGATATGGCTCAGTTCCTTTTTTTCTGTATTATCACTGTAACATCATTCACATGCAACAGTCACACAGTATGGAGTATTAAAAGTCTGTCAGAAAGACAAAATAAAGGCATCTGGTAGATGCTACATGTTGCATACAGTGGAAAGTGCAGAGGATTAGAGAACCTTTACAGAATAAGAATGAAATTGAGTGTTTGATAAAATTCAAAATAGGGATTGATTTCATTCGTAAAAGGCTACAAAATGGACTTTGACCAAGGAATTATAATTTTGAGCCTCACTCACGAGTTATAAGCTCAAATATCACTTTTTAACTTTGCCCTGGTAGTGGTGTTTGAGGGACTGTAGGATTTGTCTACTGACTGAACAGTTTTGATCATAATTGGAAAATGTATTACATTGCTATGATTCACTTCCAGTGTCTGAATCTTTGCCAACAACCTTATTTGTGCTTCATGGCCGGACTGTCTGAAGTAGCAAAACCCTGTGGAATAAAAGCATCCTTCAGACGCTGCATCTGACATAGCAGCATTGGTTTGGTGTATAGGTAAAATGAGCTCTCAAAAGAGATCTCAACTCTGGACCGATGACAGCCTCATTAGTGACTTTTGTATAGATTTAGATGGCAGTCAGCAGAGCAAATCAGATGTATTGTTGATTTCCTGAACTGAGTTTACCTCTTGACTGATGGTGGTGCAAGAGGGCACAGTCTTCTTAAATAACTATTGCATAAATTCACTCACATATACTGTATATACAATATTTGCTATAGCTTTGGTTATCTTGCAGTTGAATACCACAGGCTACTTAGAAACTGATCACAATATACAGATTAGTAAAATCCTCACAAATGGACAGTGTTTTTTAAGATTAAATAACGTCATTACAGGTGTCCGTGATCAGTAAAACTTTGCATCCCCAAGAGACGGACTCGACCAATCCACCAGATAGAAGTTGCAATAAGAAAAAGCCATTCTAAGACTTGTCACCAAAACCAAATAACATTTGGTTAACGTTATTTTCAGCATTGCAAAGATGCTGAGCATTAAATCACACCTAGCAATTTCAAGTCACCCCAGTTTTCTCTTTTTCATACTAAGCCAAAAAAATCCATCCAAAGTTCAAATCCATCAGTCAGTTTTAATTGTTGATTGCTCACTTCCCTTTTTCTTCTGTTAAAACTGGCTTTAGAGTTATTGTAGTCACATGCTCATCCCTCATGCATGACATTATCACAGTGAAATTCCTTGAGGAAAAGAGAATACTGCCTCATTTTTTGCTTGATGAACGTTTGGACCCCTTAGATTTTTTCTCTTGCTCTTTTTCCTTTTCCTGAAGCTTCTTCTCTCTCTTTTTCTCCTCCTTTGCCTCCTTGTACTTCCACATCGGAGGCTCCAGGTAGCCCTTCTGCCTTTTCTTCTTTTTCTCTTTCTTTGGAGTGGGCTCCCCAGATTTTGTCACTTCAATCTTAGGAATACAGCCTGAGGGGAAGATGCTGTTTCTATGTGCCATGCTGCGGGGAATGAAGCTTCTCATGCCACCTGATGGCATGCTTTCCCTGCGCTCTGAGTTCTGGCAGCAGGAGGTCAGAGATACAGAGGTGGTTGACACAGCAGTGAGAGAAGATGAGGTGATGGATCCTTTAATGTGGGACACTGTGCTCTCCTCCAGCTCCTTGCTACTGTGCTTTTCAAGCAGTTCAGGAACGGCAAACCGTCGCTTGCCAATCTCTGGGGGGCTGGAAGGACAGAGTGGACGGCAACCAGTGACTACCAGGGGGCTGTGGATGCTTGTGGTCATCCGCACCATATGGTCCATGACCCCATTTTCTTGCGGGTCCTGAGGGAAGCTGAAAGAAAGGCTGTCTTTTAAGCGCTGCCTCAGCTTTTGACTGGCTGTTTTGGAGCCCGTGGCCTTTGCTACCAGTTGCTTCAGCTCAGGCCACTCAGGAACGTAGCTTTCACAGAACTGCTCAGCGACAGGATGAGCCTGCAGGTGCCGTAGTCTTTTAAAAGTCTCAAACCTTCCTGTCCTAAGGATCCAATCCTTTAGACCTCTCCCTTGGACTAGGTCCATTGCATTCATATCTGCACCTGCACACGAGAAAGGGAGAAAATCACAGAACACAGTGGAAACAAGGAAACAAGGTCATAATCTTTGGATGTTAAGTGATGTGAAGAAATCCAATGCTATCTGGTTGTAATAATTCAATTAAAGCCATTATTGGAGGATCTGTTTAAAAAACTATGACAATAACTTAATGAATAGTCAAGGCATTAGAACAAATCCAAGAACACCAGACATATATTTCTAATCTACAAATGGCTCAAGTTTGCCTGTCAATACAGACAGACGGACTAATGTCAATCTCTCTCTGACATAATTGAACTTTAAATAGAATGTGGTTGGGATATTTATAGTGCTATCCTAAATGTGTCCCTGTACAGTTTATACTGGACTAATCCGGGCAGCCCAGAGAAAGACCAGATTAGTTCACAGATCATATGTCCTGGTTCGCCCTTTGTATCACATGTATATAACATTTATAGTTTTTGGTATATGGTTTTCAGGGAAAGTTTCCCTGTAAACCATTAGATATGCATTGGTGTCTGTACTAATCCAAGAATCTGGGCTGACTGTTTCTGAATGAATGTATTGTTCATGTGCACACACACACACCAGATGTATAAGAAATACTGCAAATTTTATTGGAGGTCTTACCATGCATTAACAGAGCTGATACACACTCCTCTCGGCCCTGCAGGCCTGCCTTAATGAGGGCTGTGAAGCCACGGGGATCCCTGACCTCAGTGTCCACACCAGAGTAGTAGTTAAGGATATAGTTTAGAATGGTGACAAAGCCTGGATTGAAACCAAATCATTATGTCAATATGGTAGGATTGACTTTGGGCTAGTGTTGAGGTAATGTGCTGTATGTGGCATCAGACATACCTGCCTGGGCAGCAATCATGAGGGCAGTATTGCCATCATTGTCTTGATGGTTGATGTCTATGAATGGACACGTGTGCAGCAAAGTGACTATGTCTATGTATCCATTGGCTACAGCCACCATTAGCCCATCCTGAGGGGTAACAAGGTAGAAATAAATTCACCTTCATTAAACAAGGTTTACTTTTACGTTAAACATTTTTTTGTTACAGATATATACATTTCTCAGGTTGTGTCAAAGTCACTTTTCTTGTGTGATAAAAAGGAAAATGAAATCCATCTCACCCTGCCATTGATGTCCAGTTCCATGGCCTCGTCTTTAGTAACTCCTCTTTCCATGATCCTGCGCAGGGATGCGGCGTTGTTCTTAGCGCAGGCCTCATACAACGTTTTAGCCGTCTCCGTATGCTGTTCGTTCCTTTCATAGTCAGGAAGGACTGAGTCTTCAGAAAGTAGACTCCCTGAATCAGAATCATCCAGGAGGATGTCCGAGTCCTCGGATGGGCCTTCGCCCAGGTGGGGGTCATAACTTGCAGTGGCCATTGGACCCCCTTCTGCCTGGGATCACACCAAGGTGTCAGGTCTGCTGCACACCACCCACATCTGAAATAGAAAGTATTAAATGTTATCACTGACACTGCATATGGGCCCAATCAGAGCTCATATTTAATTTAGATAACTGTAATACACTTGCACTGGTAGGAGAATAGCCCTAATGGCTACTGAACAAATGCTGTGCTCAGTGGTCACTTGCTGCGAATATAAGCATCTAAAATTCTTAAAACAGTAAGAGACATATTATGTTCCATTTCATGTGCCTTCAAAAGTGTGTGCTTATCCTAATGTGAAAGGTGCTGGTAAAAATATTTGTGTGCAAAAGGAATATTGTTACAATTACATTTTGTTTGGTGTCATGTAGGGCTGTGTGAAGATGTCTACTCAAAATAAGCATCATACACTAGTTCGAGTATGACTGCATTGCTGACAACAAAACACTGCCACCTTTCAAGTTAGAATGTTAAATAGATCTGGTGACCTGAGAGTATGAGGCATGATGCTTAAAGACGATAAGGAGCTTCACCTCACCTCAGCCCTCCTGTCAGAGTGGATGATCTGTAAGTCTGTGATTTACAGGGTAGGCAAGCTGACTGTATAATATGCTTTTTGCCAATGTTTGTTCGCCAGCTCAGCCTATTATAGAATAGAAGAGAGAGTAGTTATTATGACTCTGGTAAACAAATATTTTCACTATATTTAAGATGGTTAATGCTCAGAATGTGTACAAATGTGCAAGACATGTACACATATCTACAAATAAATACAGTAAATGGTCAAGAAACACTGTACATCTGCAGAAGCTCAGTCTGAAAGTAATGTGAATGAAGGCATAGAAGGAGGAGTATACTGGGTTGAGAAAGGCCATATGGTGCCGGAAGCAATGGGAGGCCAGACTAGAGACAGCATCTGTCATGGTGTCTTATTCGTGTCACACTGCACTGCGGAACAAGAACCCTGGGGTATCCAGGGGTTTTAAATCAATAAGCAATAACTTATGTTATAATTTGGTGCTATATAAATACAATTGAACTGAACTGATTATACAAAGGCAAGTCATACAAATGTTGTGTCTGTTAAAGTATATTTTGAAACCAACATGGCACTGTTTCTCGAGGCTCAGACTTAGGATGGGATGGACTTCTTAATGTTGTAAAGGAGAGTGAGAAAGAGCTTGATTGCTCTCCAGTGAGGAATGAGGGTTTCAGTCGTCAAGCTGCCTTGGCCCTCCATCACTACGCCATATCAACACTAGGCACAAATTCACACAGTTGATTGTTTGCACAGAAGTACCTTGTACCTTCTGAATTATAAATGAATGCTAAGTTTTAGAGCAGCAGCATCTTTTGGATAAGCTCTCGTTAAATGCCTGCTAGCACTGTATCATGCAAAAAAACTGAAGCTCACTATCATGCAAACATTTTTCTCCCCCCTCTTCCTCCTTCTGCACAAACATAGAAAGCTCCTACTTTAACTCTGCCATTGTGACCTACACTTTCTGCTGAGCAACACCTTGCAATCTGGTCAAGCTTCTTCTGCAACCATGTGTGCCAAAGCAAAGCGACAATACTAGAACATAGTAATAGCTAAAGTCTCACCCTAAAACAATCCAGTCATGGTTTAGTCCTCTTGTCCTTTATTCCTCTCTTTTTGAACTTGCTCCTGGTAGATAAACCATCCTCATATATTGGACTTCCTCTCTTCCTGCTGGCTCTTGGTAGAAACTGCTAAGGTTAAGTTTCCCAAACTGACTCCAGCTGAATGCCTTCCCCCTCCCTCCATCTCTCCTACTGGCCAGTTAGGTTGCCTCATCAGCCGGCAATCCGTCCAGGTCCCAACATAGGCCCTGCTGTCCTAAGTCAGGCAACATGCTCTCTCCCTCTCATCCTGATTATAGAAGATTTAAGGATTATGAGAAAGAAACAGACAGCAGCCAGCCTTACTCCCCTTACAGTCTGTTGAGTCTGCTCTCTCTTTCTCTCACTTGTCCCCACAGCTCTCTCAGAATCTGTCCATTCACAGCTCTCTGGTGCCCGTCTGTTGTGTCAGAGCAAACCTCTCTAATGGTCCAAATAAGTGCCGCGACTGAATCATCATTCCACGGCTCCCAAATCTGCTGTATAATTTCGGTGTCTTTGTGATGGGAGTCAGCATCTTGGGTCTGTTTTCCCATGGAAATCCATTTGCTGGGACAACAAAGTAACCCTGCTGTTACTCTAAGCCAGGAGGGCTTTGGTAGTAAATATTCCCATGACAGGGATGACACACACTGACATGCATGGAAACACATGGACACTCTGTACACGCAAACACAACTCCTTGTACACCCACACAGATACTGTAAAAGATGGGGCAAGCAGCTAATTTGCAAAATCTGCTTACACATTAAAGCATTTAAGAAAGCAAAGCAGACCTGCAAAGTTTTGCTCCACTGCTTAAAATAAATTGTGCTAAACATGTCCAGAAGGAGTTCAAAGGACAGCATACATATTTTCTGTTTTAGTACCACATTTTCATCTGTAGTTAATTTAATTGTATTTTTTAACGTAGTTTTGTCTTGACACAGATACCAAGCAAACAAATAACCAGGTTTCAAATAGCAGACTAAGATGTCTGAATGAGGTTCACATAGGTTTAAGCCCCCTGCTTGAACTGTGACCGCAACATTTTTGTTTTTGAGTGCTGAATCCCATATGTGGACAGGAATATCGTGTTAACAGGTTTATTCATGGCATCACAGACTCAGTCACGTGGCATTGAAGATGCAGGTAAACAGATTAACCCTGATATTGAGTTGGCGTGGGGCCAATCTGTGACTTTGTTCATGTGAATGTAGCCTTGTGTTATGCAGCAGCTCCTCTCTTTTAGAGAGATGCAGACTTCCCCCTTCTGATCAAACTGGGTAATGCAGTGCTTGGACACAAGCCTTGTTTATGTGGTGTAGTTCAACAAGCTATTCAGACAGCTCACGTTTAAAATAGCCATAACATAAACCTTCACTTTAGGTTAGAGCTGCGGTCTACATCGCTTCCAAATATACAAACATCTTGTTGACTCTGAACCTACATGTGGAACATGACGTTAACAAGTTATTATCAAATACACAGCACTATTAATGAGCAAAGGTAAAGCCACTGTGACAAAATGGACACTCATTCAAAAGTGTTTGGATCCTGAGAATTGTAGTTGCTGATCTGCTCTGAAGAGTTACCCAACAGAGGCATGTTGTTGATACCACCCATCTGAAGCCGACACACCTCCCAACAACATAATCCCACTAAATCCCATCAAATTCCCCAGCCAAATCCTTATCAGAATCTGACTTTTCGGGTGTGAACCATCAGATCAGACCCATAGCATCCCACTAGCCTGGCCCATTACTCAAAAGGCTTGAAAACAAGAACCTGAGGTAGGTTTTGAATCCTTATTGATATGAAACACAGGGAGAGGAAAACAGGGCATGCTTGGGGCCAAAGATTTATAGCTTGTTAAAGGCCAAAACAGAAATGAAGTTGATAGGACGAAATACGGAGGAAAGGGAAGTCTGTTGGGCACAGCAGGGTGGGGTAGGAGTGTGTGTGTTTTCAGTGTTTCCCTTCATCCTTTTAGATGCACAAGAATCTAACTACTTTACCAGACGAGGGCAGCACAGCACACACAGCGCTTTAACAGAAGCAGTTTGTTTTTATCTAAAAGAAAATCGAACTGGTTTTATACAAACGATTACTAATGTGATGTATGAGTTAAAGAACATTTTGTTCTGATTCCCACCTCCTGATAGAGCTCACACTTTCCTTTTAGGGTCAGAGTTATTCCGCCCCCCATTCTGCAATCAGTCATTCACTCATTGCTGCAAAAGGCAGTCCAACTTTTCCCCAGACACCAGAGTACCCAGCAGAGGTCAGTGGTAGAGCAAAATAACTTGGAAAGAAGCTTGGGAAGCAATGAACTAAGTTTAGCCAGCTTAGTGACTGATTCTAAAGACAGCCTTGTGCTCAGCTAATATTAGATTGTTGGCAGTCTATGCAGGACCTGACTTACCAGCACTTTCCTCAGACTCTGGGAGCATCTGCTATATTATATCCAGCCATGTGGCAAAAAAAGACCCCCCCCCACCCCCCCAACTAACACACATGCACACACCGCTATTTGTTCTAAAGCGTTTAAAAGCCTCCCAGGATCAGGTGATTGGAAGAAAGTAAATAGGAAACAGAGCTACGTTTGTGGTGTTTATCCTTTGACTCAAGAGTGGGCGAACTTGGCATGAGTAAAAAATATTGTGCACTAAGGAAATGATTTGTTCAGATCCGGAGTACTGAAACCATTTCCTTAGGAGGGCCAAAAGAAAATTTACTATGGGTTGGGGTAGGGTTAGGTTAGGTCAAGGAAACATAAAGAAGTACAGAAGTATGAAGTATGAAGTATGAAAATGTGAGCACCACGGCCCCCACTCTGCATCCTAATTAGTAAGTGCATATATTATTCATATTATTTTTTTTAACTAAAAAAGATTGTAGAGCACACAGATAGAGCCTGGATGTGGAGTGGAATGAAACTGCAAGGTGATATAGCAATAACTGTGTTCCCCCTGGCACAACAGAGAAATACAAAACCTATTCAGATATTGTGAGGTTTTTGCAACATTTCTTGTAGTTTTATTCACAGGAAAGGAGTTTACGTATTTCTATTACAAAGAAATGCAGAAAAACAACATGAATTTTCCATGTCTTCACATGTGATCGCATGTGAAGACATGCAGAAAACACGTTTTAGTTGAAAAAACACAAGTTGAAACATGTGGCATCATGTAGCGTACATGTGAAACATGTGGAGCACACACGTTTCACATGTAATCCCATATATTTCACATGGGAATTTACATGGGCTACAAATTACACCATGGAAATGTTTCTCATGTGCAAAGGTGGGGCATGTTAATTTGTCATTTAGTCATCCAAATCGACTTACAATTGTTCTATATTTAGCACACATCTGGAGCAACTAGGCATGTGTGTTATCCACTGCACCATTGTCATCCCATGTTATGCCTTTATTAGGCAGCAATCGCATTTCATGTTCAGCAACTCGAACCCTAAGGCACAGTTTAAAATTAATCACATTTTCAAAATTTTCTGTCAGTGAAATATGTTACAAAATGAAAAACGTGAATTGTGAAGGTTAACATCACTTCCTGTAGATGCAAGTCTGGTGTCTGCCTGTGGCAAAAGTGGTTGTATGTGTCACTTGTGCATCATCATCAAATCAAAGGTCACCACAGGCTGGTGGGCTTCTCTTCTGGCTGCCATGATTTAGATAAAGTGATTTCAATGTGTCCACAGTCAGTCTCGACCTTGAGCTAATGGCTGATGTGAGTGATGTGGAAACTTTGTATGAAGACAAAGTGGTTGTTGAAAGCAGCATAGAGTGTTAGTGTTCTTTACTCCACCTCTGCCAGTAATTTCTCTGAAGTCTTCACTGCTGCCGATTGTACTATGCCCTGATAAAGTGGTACTTTTTAATTATTTCAGTGCTTAAGCTTCAGTGCTTTAAAAAAAAAAAAAAAGGTGAAATTTAGTAGTCTGTCTTGGCTAAATGAAAACACATATGCCAAAAAAAAGAGAAAAGTAACAGAGAGGAATGTAAATGAAGTCACATAAATGCAAGTAATTTGTGGCAGTTTTGAGAGAGGGAGATTTACAGTTACAATCCTAGGACCTAATTCATTTAGTTGTTGTTGCATATAAGAAACATAATCAATTCTTTACAGTTTTTCATTTCATTTCATTTTGTTTGTTCAACAATTTGTGGGACGTGTTCTGAGAGCTGCCTCTTATATAAGCTGTCACTGTATTTTTATTTATGATCAAAATATTTCTAGGCCTTTGCTTATTACTTATATTACTAACATGCACTGGTCCAGCCAGTCCTTAATAAATAAGCATAGATAATTTAGATTAAATTAAAACTGGCTTTGTCATCAATATTCCATTTTCAATAAAGGCACCACATCAGCATAACTTTTCAGAGAAAATTTCAAAGGAATGTTGATGAAAAGAGAATGCATCTACACACTGTCTATTGCATTGTCTCTGTCTATTGCATTCACTCAATTTACTAGTCAAACAGAGCTTCATCAGAGCATGCCAAACACACAGAGAACAAATACCCTCTCAAGTGTGGTCAACAATTTCATTTGTGATCTGGTAAAAAATTTCCATAAAGTTTTTATTACCTGTTAATATGTGATAAAGGCTTGTTATATAGGTGGTTTAGATGTTGTCTACATCTAAAAGCTGCAAGCTAAATGCAAGCTAAATGCTCTGCTTGTGAGACTATGTACAGTATAATTTGACGCCTTCTCGAAGCCTTACACAGCAACACATTAGTGGAGACAAAAGCACCATCAGACATAAATATGAGGATAATCTTGTGCCAAGTCTCTTTTATTAATGTTCTCTTTGTATTTCTGCCTTATGGATTTGTGACATTTAACATTAACAATAAAATGTATTAAACAACTCTGCCAAAGGGAATTTCTGTGGATTCGTACATTGGACTCTTTAAAACCTACTCCATTACTGTGTCTGTCTGATGTTTTGTAATAGCCTCCTTTGTTAACAATGGATGATCATGTTATTTATGGGTGCAAATGTTTTTCAGGTAATTCTGCTGTCTCATATCCATATTGTATTTGTTTTGCCTTATATTTGTTCATTGTATCTGGACTTTGAAATGATTGCTCCAACAAGTTGTGACATTTTGTCTGTTTTGTGATGTTTTACATCATACTAAACAGGGGCTTCAGGTGTGTTAATTCTTTGTCTATTAGGCATGTTTCTGTATCACTGAAACCTCTGACTGAATAATAAAAACTGAAAAATAACGCAGTAAAATGGTCTAAAGGCACGGAATATTTAAAGTGAGGTACCAACGTGGCAACCCTTGTTCTGGGCAGGTCTTCAGAGCTCAGGCTCTCATGGAAGAAGCTCAATCACCCTTGGCCTAGACTGTGTGTGACCAAAACAGGACCACATGAGGATCCCAGGCTGCACTTGGGCTCAGTGGAGGTTAAAAACTCTGAGACTTGGCTATCCAAAATGTACCTGATATTCTTTTGAAAAAAACACAAACAAGACAAGGCTAAATTGTGCCTTGTCTTATGAAACATTTTGGATTGTCTGTAATCTGGAAATACTGAACTGTCTCAAACAGTTACAAATGTAAAATACAAATGTAAGTGATGGTGTTTTGAACTGAAAAGAAAATGATTAAGATAGTGAGTAAATAATGATTACAGCAAAGGAGAAAACAAACAAACAAAAAGGACAGTGCTGTATTTCTGGGCAACCTGCCCAGAGATTGAAGATCCATCTGTAAAACACCAACACTGGAGCCAATCCCAGCTGACTTTGGGCGAAAGGCGGGGTACAGATGTATGTGACAGAATTGTGATGAATAAATATTAGTAATAATGATCAGTACTGATAATGTTGAGAGCTGTAGTGGATTTAAATTTTTAGAAATTGTAGTATTGGAATGGAATAAACCAGAATATTGCACAATAATCAATTGTTGCCAGAATTTAAAAGTACATTTGCCTGATGCCAGGCTGCTTTACTTTATCTATTAATTAAACTACCAATGAAGACCTGGTTTTACATGTGTAGTATGCAACAGTTTTTTTTTGTATGTTTGCTGTAGTTCAAAGGTCTATTGTAAGTGCTGTGGTGTCTCCTCTTTCTTCTTCTTCTTTTTTCTATTGTTTATAACTGTGCAGTTAAAGTTTGCATATCAATAATGTAAACTGTCAAGTTACACTTTCACAGTTGTCTCATATTTGTGAATTTTATTCACACAACAGAAGTAATGTGCATGGTGCAAAAAAAGTCTAAACTTCATATTTTTTCTTGGAGGAATGCGACCCAGGATCAAAAAATATAATTAGACAGTGCAGAAAGTGTGATTTATGTGTTTCTCTTAAAAGCTGAAGTGAAACTTTCAAATAACTCTAATGCTCCTAGAAATTGACATTTTAACAACATGATCATTAGGGGTTTGAACTCCAGCAGTTATCATTGTTTTTTAACTTGACCTGCTTATATTAATACAAATTGATTCTTAATAATAGGTGAAAACAACCGGCTTGTTGACTGAATGTTTACTATGGCTACAACATGAATAAAGTTTGATCATGTACGGTGTTCTCCAGTGGAAATGAAATGTTTACAAGATGCATACGCATACACACTCACACACATGCACAATTACTGCATATCTGTGATACAGGCTCTCCACTTGGCCTGCAAGGTCAATCTGGTAGTAAACTGCTAGTGTTGCAAGCCTTCTAACATTTACTAGCAAATCATCTTTCAAGTAGCCACAAAAACTAATCTGGTTTGATTAATTGGTAGTTCAGCACAAGTTGTGTAAGATGTGTATGCAATTGGTGGCAATCTCAAAAAATCTCAAAAAATAGTTGAGCTTCATGGGCTGTGTGTTCATACCTTATTTGGGGCTGCCCTGCCGCTCAAGAGTTCACACAATCCATGTGTCACTGCCTGAGACTTGGGCAAAGATGAAGAGAGTGTAGGGTGCCAGGATAGTTCAAAGAAAGACCAGAAAGAGAGAGATATAGAAAAGATTGAGATGAGGAAAGAAATCCAGGTATTGAAGACGAAGGGGAAAAAGTGAAAGAAGAGAAAGAATGATGGAAGGAGGAGAGGTTTTGGGAAAGGGGGTGGTCTTCTATAGCCAATGAAGAACAAGAAAGGAGGATTTCAGTGAGGGTGATGTGCCCATTCCTGAAGTCACGGCTCAGGCTTCAGACAGAAGGACAGGAGAAGTCCAGCCTCACAGAGAAATACTTCCACACTGTCTAGTGTTCTGATTTAGAGGGATGATGAAGAAGAGGACAGTTGACTCTCCTCAAGAAGGCCCAAGAAAATCTTCTATCTGAGTTTCCTGGGGAAGCCTATATTGAGAGTACAAGGTGGATATTTTCAATGGACTAAGCCAGTATTTGAGACACCTCAAGTCAGCTCATCTGTATCTGAACTGGGGGACGTGAGAGAGAGACAAGGGCTCAGACAGAACACCCCCCCCCCCCCCCCCGCCTTCCAGGATCAATTATTCATATACATGAGGTTTCCTGTGTGTCAGGGTGGAACCAGGCGAGCTGCGGTGGCTCAGCTCCAAACTGTGGCACAGTGCGACAAAACTGAAGAAGCAGAAAACAGGCGGACAAGAGAGATAGAGGACACAGGGAGAGCAAAAAAGATTGTGTAAGAGTTGCAGATCAAAGGTCACAAAAGCAGAGGGAGAATCATTTGAGGAGGGTTTTTGTTTGGCAAGAATGAAGGCTCTACAGAAGAATCAGGGACGCACTGACCAGATGTTGGGAGCCATGGCTGAAGTGCTTACTTCCGTGGTCATGCCCAATCAACAGTGGGTGAGTTGTAGATCTGTTTGTATATTTACTGGCTGCTTATATGAATGCACAAAGGCACAAATTCCAAAAGAAAGTATTTTTCAGCGCTTGCAATGTCCAGCTCATCTCTCATGATTACATGCCCAAGTTTATTTTATGCGTGTCATAACTGTAAACCTAAAACGGACAAGCTGGGCAAGCAAGAGAGAAGAGAGAGAGAGGAATGGAAGGATTGCCGGTCTCTGTTCAATGCTTGGGAGGAATCTTGGATGTTTTACAGGAACAGGAAGCAGAATAGCAGTGATTAAACCATCTGACCATAAAGCAGGCAAATTTGTTTTCCTTCCGTTCCTTTATCTTCCTCAACCTCCCTTTCTCTCTCTTTTTCACGTACACACGTAGACACGTAGACACGTCTCCATTTAAACAGAAAAGGGTCTGGATTAACAGGTGATCAGGTTGCCTGAAGTATTGTGTTTTCTGCTTGGTTGGAAGGATCTATGGCAGCCACATACATTTTTATTCTTAAATAAAAATACAAATACTATTTTATCATCCACCTCAAATGCATATCTACAAAACCATAATGGCGTCACATACACAAGTTGCATTTAATGAACTGTGAATGGAGGTTTACGCACAACATCTGGAAAATCACACATGCAGATGAGTGTACCAAAAGGTCCAAATATGTTTCTCTTTGTAACTCTGCGTTTTTAAAAAAAAAATATTTATCTCGACAAATAATTTCCTCCCTGGCAGATGGTTTGGATTGATAACTCCACTTGCCCCTATTAACCTCTACTCTGGTGCTGCTTGGCCTCAAATAAAGACTGAAAGTGCTCTCTGAGAGGCAGCTCTTATCCAAGCTCCGTGGCAAAAAGTTGGATCTCAACCATTTCTACTGCATTCTTGTTCAGTGTGTAATGGAGAAAAGGATGAAAACGATGCAGGGAATAGTGGAAAAAAACAGCCACTGGTATAATGTTTTGTGGTTATGTGACCATAAGTACAATCTTACCATCACTTCCTCCTGAGAGCAGAGCTCCACTGCTGACAAAGGCATCTCTGTGTGTAGCTCTCAGAGGGAGGTGAGGCGGACCTCCCATTAAGCGAGGAAGAAAAGGGGCCTGTGCAGGGCCAGTGGGAGCCAGAGAGGTTGGAGTGGGAGCAGCAGGCCACTACTACAGAAAACCCAGAGCGGCAAGAAAGAACAGGTAAGACCTAAAAGGGCTGCACTGAGCGTAACATACCATTTTGTGACCCCAGAAGCACAATACTATAGTCCAAACATTGGCCCTCACCAAACCAGGAGCTTAGAGACTCACAGACACACAAATATCCAGACTCAGCTTGGATTCTTTGTGTGAAACATCTTAGATTGCTGCGCAGTGACATCTAAAATAGCCTGCTCAGCCCTTCCTGGCAACAATCTGTGTTGCTGTTGACATATATACGGTAATGATTTCTTGTTTCAAGATGACATAAATTAACTATGTTGAATCTCTAAGTGAGTACGTGTGACGTGAGCTACCGCCCAGGCCTTTAGTTTCAGCTTAGCCTAACCTTGCATGCTAGCCATATGCAAAGTTAGGATAAAAACAGGCCTGAGTCCCATCTGCCATATCTGATGGTGGTCATTAGGCAGTAATAACTTCAGGGAAAGAAACAGATTGGAGTCACCTGAGTGTTCGTAGTTTACTCTTATTAAACTCCACACATTGTATCCCCTAATAGCACTGATAGCAGAAAATTGCTTAGCTGTAATGTACCATACATAAATATGTGTGAGAAGATGAGAGAGAAAGAGTTCTTGTGTGTATGGGTATGCAACACTTTCCAGATGGGGCAAGAAAACATGTTCAGCTGCCTGCCTTTCCTTTCCGCCCCAACCCTGTTGATTGCATTTATTCGGATTTTGCTGTGAAAGGGTTGCGTGCATTGCCATTTTCCTTGAGTGAAATGGAACAAAAGGAGCTTTGTAGCTGGGTCTGGGTTTGGGTTAGAGGGAGTGTGTGTGTATATATGAGGGGTTTGGTGGTGTGTACCATGTGGCTGGACCACTAACTGTTGTGCAGAACAGTACATTGCGTACATAAGGGGTGTGAGCGAGGCCAGAGGAAGTTGTCAGCGATGCTTATCTGTAATGGTCTTACTCGGATGGAGTGTGCTGTCTTAAATTATTTTAGCGTTCAAAAAAGTAAAGAAATGCATTATTCAGGGCCATGTGGAGGGACGATGACCAAAAGGGAGATTGTTTATTCCAGTTCCAGACAAGATGCTTTGCATATCCCAATTTCCTCCGGATGGGAAATTGGATGGAAAATCAATGAAACACAAAGCAGAAGAACATCTGAGCCACAAAAACAAGATGTCGGCGTTGTGGCCCAGAGTTGGGCTGGGTGAGAAGAATTGTAGGCTTGTATTGGCTCTCCATAATTTCAAATCATCACAAAATTCCCATTATGAAATATCAAAGTTCATGGTTTCATTGTCCAAATGAACACTTTTAATTTGATCAAAATCTGACACAGCATATGATCTTGCTGCATACAGTAATCCTCACAACGCCTTTACTTTTTATGGTTGAGGTGATAAAATTTTACATTTCTTCACTATATATTTATATATTAGATACACTATTTACAACCATTATTTTAATGCGTCATTTACCAAGCTTGGCAACCTAGAAGACAAACACCAAACATTGAAAGGTTAATGAGGTGGACATTTTTATGCAATCACCGAAAGCACAAATTGTATCATTATGTTTTCTACAGTTTTAAATGAGCTTTTAGCTTGCAATGAATTTCCTTTTAACGTAACACAATTGCCATATAAAACTATTTTTTTATGATTATTACCCTAATTAACATAATAAGAGTTATTTAAGGCACTCTTCAAACATGTACACGTGATTACATTTAGCCATAGTTTGACTGGCAGAGGTCATAGTTTTGTTTCCATCTCTTGCTGTGTGAGTGGAAGGGAAAAGAGGAGAGGCCCTTGCATTCTTTGAAGAAGTGGTTCATAGGGCCATAAGGGGCCATCTGTTATATGTTAGAAAAATGATGCTTGCTAGTGGCTTTGCAGGAATCACAGGACATTGCCACCTCCACAAAATCAGATCCTTTTTTCAATTCATTCTTTCATTTTTATTTCTCTATTCCAGCTTACTTTGCTCTTCTGCCCCCCTCCTTGGTAATGAATCTTACAACAGTTTGTCTTTCTCTTTTCATCTGATCATTCTTCTTTGTTTTCCCTCTTGTCTCCCTTCTTTTCTTCTCCAGTCCCCTATGTATCACCTTTTTTCTCAAAGCAATGTCTTCAGCAGTGGTATTTTAAACTTGACTTCCCCTCTAAGTACACAAAGCTGCTGATCATATTTCTCTCAAATCTCATACATTTTTTTCTCTTGGCTACTTCAACTCCCAGCCATATAGTTCATGTCCCCAGACAATATTAGTCTACAGTGTCTGTTTCATAACACTGATCAGTGATGGATGTCCATGTGTGTTTTACGATGTTGACTCTTTCAAGGTAAAATACATAAAGCCACATCAACAGGAAACTGCCCTGAACCAGTAAAAATAACAGGCACACCATGCATGTCTCTATTTAACTTTGAATGTGATCCTTTGCAACTTAAAACACATGCTTATTATTAGTGTAGAAAATGTTACGCCAACGAATTGCGTTATTTATAGGAAACATGATATTCTGTGAGACATGCAGATGTAATGATGGAAATTCATGGGAACATAATATGAAGATCGTTTGCATAATACTCTATGTACCATAAATTCTTCACAGTCAAAGAGAAGAAAAGTTACCGTATTAAAAAAAAAATCTTTTCCCTTCGCTTTTGACAGTTTCTTACAAAGAATATCCTGAAATAATGAATGGATTTGGAAGGAAAACCATATTCATGAGTAGGTGTGAGGAAAACTATGTAGAAAATGCATGCCCTTGTCCATATTGGGTTTTGTGTCTAGCTGGGAGTGTGTGCCATCTGAGGACAAGTGCTGATCCCAGAGGACCCTGGGACTGAACTGCGTGTGAGTGACCTTAAATGGGCAGAGATCAACCTGATGTTGCATCATATTGTACTGTAAGGGCCAGAAATCATGCAGGTGGATGTATGTTTATTTACACAATTATAGTATCTCACATATCTTCTGTTGTAGTGGAGAACATGTATACTGTGTCAGATGACTTCATACATTATGAATTATAAATACATGAAAAGCTCCTCCAAGTACTGTCTGTGTTTGTGTGTGATGGCAAGAAGGTTTGATATTTCATGTATGTTTTGCAATGTACCCCTGATGTTCTTGTAAACAATAGACAAAGAACAGTCCTGATTGGGTTATCTACACCTTTCACCTACTGTATATCTGAGCCTTTTCATTTGACATGGCAAACTTGATTGCTAATAGTTGCTTATTTATATGTCCAACAGTTAGGTAGCAACATTTTTATTCATTTGGAGTCTTGTTTCTGACCACCTGGTAAATGTAAGTTCATACTCACTCTCCTTTTAGCTCTGTTTTTGGTCTCTGACAATTCTTGAGGGAAATATATGGCTCTTTAGCTGCTAAATGCTCCACTATGTTCAGCAGCTGGTCACTAACTGTGTCTGTCTGCTGTTTGATGCTGAGCAGGTACTCTACAGTATAGTGGGTTTGTAGAGCGTTTTTGTGAAAAAGCTTCCTGCTGAGACCGAAAACAATGCTGAGAGTGTTAAAAGTGAACCAAAACGGTGAAGTTGTGGGCCTGACAGCTAAACATTGAGCTAAAACTTGCTATAAAGCTCCATAAAGCAGAGGGGAGCTGCAGTTTCAGGTCATAATTCTATGTGGGCTCATCACTAAAGCGATCCTTATATATTGACGTGCTGGTTTCACAGTGATTTGTTACATTGTTAAAAATATTGATAAATAAAATATTATTTTATTAGATTATAGCTGCTTTAATGAATTGAGGATCAAAGGTCTATCATCTAAGCAAAAACGTATGTGGGCTGTCCTGGCAGGATGACTGTGTGGTGAAAGATTGCCACCGTGTTGCCCCCCACACATGTGAATCATGTCTTCTTACATGAATAATTAGGTTCTAAAAAAAGTATTTCACGTGTGTATTTTTGTAGAGGTAAGTTGTAGAAGTTCTTGGTGTGTTTCAGCAAAGTGGGTCAGGCAGGGCTAGCTAGAAGGCGTAGGTCAGGCAGGTCAATCTCACAGGCCATTGCTCCACAGCACAGCTGGCATTTAGACCACAGACTGACCTGGAAGCAAGGAGGCAGATGGAGACACAAACAGTGTTACAGGCTCTCATATGTGCAAACACATACATGTATCCACACACATTAGTTTACTTATGTGCTCCCAAACATGCCATGCACACTCACAAAAATCAGCACTACTGATTTGCAATTTTATTAGCTTATTTAAGGTCGATTCAGACTGTATTTAAACGTAGCAGAAGCGCCATCTCTAAATCTATTTTTCTGACAGAAATTGCTTTCCCTTGACTGTAAAACTGCTGGCCTCAGTACTTATTAATCAAAGATAAAGCAGCAGTGTCCCTCCATGTGTGGTCCCTGGGTTTGCTTTTGTTTAATTAACATTTTCTCCTTTGGGTGGCGTTTCAGCTCAGGCTTAAGCCTTGAACACAGTCAGCAGTAGTCCCAGAGTCTCAGTGCTAGCAGGCCGCTTGTAGAGCAAGGTTCACAGACCATTTCCCGAGAGATAAAGAAAGGGAGGGAGGCTGCTGGTCAGGTAGGGGAGGACATTTTCTAGCTTACTATCCCCATGTTTGTTGGAAAAAGAGGGGATGGATGAGGAATAGTCGGTAAGGAGCATGTGTTTGTGTGAATCTGTGGGAGTATAAAGTTTGTCTTGTGTGTATGCTCGTAATTGTGGGTGGTAAGTGAGTATTGTGGATGTTTTGAGAAACAAATTCCCACAGGTGGTGCACCTCCCCTCTGTGTAGAGCAGAGCTCCTGCCGCCTGAGAGCTGCACTGCATGGGGAGGTATAACAGTGGGAGGTACTGGGTAGTAACTAGTAGTAAAGTGCACACACATGCAGGCGTACACATGCACAGCGTAACTCACCTGTCTGTCTCCCTGGCGTATGCCAGCCAGCAGCGTAGTAGTCTAATTGGACAAAAACACCAGCTCACTGCAGACCAGCAGGACAGAAGAGAAGAGAACAAGA